AAGCACTGACTTGGCACTGAGAATTCTCGGAACAGGAGTGACCACCATCAGGACATGTCAAGTTAGGCAGCATCCCAGTCCTGTGCATTATGGAGCAGATAGGTGGATGCTGGAAAATGGGTGTTCCAAACTGAGATACAACAGGCAGCAGAATGCACACCCCAGTACTGTCCAGCTCACTTTATTGCCCTCAGAGGCACAAATCTAAACCACTATGACCACATGGTTTGAGGACAAACATGATGTTTTCTGAGGGATTTGTATCACCATGAAAGTCTTCCTTAAGCATCGAACACCCCTCACTGTAAGAGGGCAGTGGAATCATGTCAGGAAACTGGGTACAGTGGAATACTTCTTGTGTAAAGACTACAGGAAATTCTGGAATTACAGCAGGTTCTTTCTGCCTTTTTTCCCAGCAGAGGTCCAGGGTGCCAGTAGAACAGCTCTAGCAAGGAGCTCAATAACTGTCCCATGTTACTCAAGGAATCTTCATCTTGTCAGAGCACTTACAGGCACCATCCATCCTGCTTCCCAGCTTTGGGAGGCAGAGTCACCAAAGTAGCATCGTTTCAATTGCCATTTCAGCCTCTCAGAGGTTAAAAGCAAAGGTGTGCAGGCAAGTCTGGTATTTAGCACTGCTTCATTAAATTCTTTAACACAGTTGTGTTATGCAACCATTTCACACCCTAAAAATAAATCCAGCTGGTTCTAAAGCAAGCCCTTTGTCCCAGTGTGGAATTGATCACCGCTTTACAACTGCTGAGAGGTAGTTTCTCATGTTTGGCCAAAGCTCCCTGTTGTTGATATTTCTTAAAGACCTCTGGGAAAAGAAAGATTTTCTAACCCTGTCTGTCTGTCTGTCTCTCCTGGCTTCCCAGGGCACAGCCCCTCACTGCCTGCCACTGTGGGCCAGTACCCTCACAGCTGGGGAGGTTGAAGTCACTCAGAAGATGCTAGAAAACCAGTGCCTGGATGGTGTCTGGTCCCAGTGGCACCTCCGGGACTGTTCTTAGCCCAGCTTTGCAACCCAGAAGCTGGGACAGAAAGGGAAAGGCTCAGAAGAGGTCTCCATTGTTGGTACTTTAAATGGTGCCCCCCCAGCTTGAGATGCTGGGGTAGGAGTTATCTGCCCTTGCTGGGGGACAGCAGAGCTGAGTAAGCCTTCACACAGCATCTGGGCTCCATATGAGACTGGAGGAGTCACGTTCCCGTGGCAGCTCTCCCCAAGGACGGTCCCCAGCCCCCCTCTCCCTGCAGTTGCCACCACTGTCAAGTTCACACAGGTCAGCTTGACCTTGGCCAGTCTCCGACACACAAAGGCCACAAGAAATGATGGCCAGTGACCAAAAGCCTGTCTGCTCCCACACTCACATCTTGCTCCCATGATCTGTAGGTGCTGCTGTCTCCCTGGTCTAGTGCCCGCAGGAGGTGTGGAGGCTGGCGCTGTTTAATTTCTCCTTTAGAGATGGGAGAAGAAGCAGAGCCTGTTTGTGTTCTTCTGTGCTCAGTGCTATGTGACCCAAGCAGCCTCTACACTCTGCTTGCAGTGCACTGCAGCGTCTCAGCTGCAGCACGGTGTGTGTGTCCCTCGCTGGCTGTATCCCACCCGCTGCCTGGGCTCCACTCCCTGCCCAGCACATCACTTGGGGCATTGTCTTGGCTTGAAAGACAGGTACCTGACAAAAGAGACAGGGGCCTCTTTTTTTGAAAAGGAGAGTAGTATATCCCCCCCCTTTCACTCTACCATGATTTTGAAATTAAAGGGCTCTCAGGCGACGATATGGGGGTAGGAATAACAGTTCTTTACTGAGATCTATATACATATATAACAAGGGAAACAAAACACAACAACAATAACTGCGAGATCAACAGCAACAGAGCAGAAAACTCAGCAAACAGCTCTCCCGGTTGTGGACACCTTTCCTCTGTGGTGCAGTTACCGTTTTTGGTGCTGTCTGCTAGCCCCTGGTGAGCAGGGAGGAGATGATGACCCCACGTGGCTGGAGGGACCCTGCGGTGAATGGCGTCTGTGTCCCAGATGGAAAGGGAAGAGGGGAGACGCTGCTCACAGGTCGCAGGGCAGTGTCAGTCCTGATGCTCCAAAAGGATGTGCTGCAGTCAGTAGGAGATGCGGGAGAGCTTTTGAGCAGGGAGGTTGCGGGATCCCACAGCCAAAGAAGGCAGCTCCCGGTGTCAGCGCGGCAGAGCGGAGTTTTTAGCCACCGTCCTTCTCCGAGCCAGACGAACGAGAGAGACAGAGCAGCCCCTACCCCACCTCTCCTTTTCCAGTATTGCCCCTTCTCCTCCTCCCTTCGAGAGAAATTGTTAACTCACCTATCTGAGCTTCTGGGTGTAGCTCCAAATACGTAGAATAACAATGGAGAAAATTCCACAGAAAGAAAAGGGGAACATTCAAGCCCCAACGAGCATCTTCTGGGATGACGGTGAATGAGTTCAAAGAACCGTCCAAACGATGGTCTGCTTTCATCCCCAGAGTTTGCCTTTGCTTCATTCTGAAGATATATTTCAAAACTTTTTGAGACTGCTGACGTCAATGGAGGTCTGCAGAAACATCTGTCAGTTTCCTGCCCTCAGTGCCTTCTGCCCTTGCGCAAGTTTGTCCATGGGTCTCATGCTGATGGCTGGACACTCCATGGTCTCACCTTCTGTAGTTATATTTATAAAATGTAATTATTTATTATTTATATGGTGTATATCTAACCCTGCTGAGCTGTGCCCCAGTGTTATGGATGGGGTGACACAGGGCAGGATGCTCAGCAGGACTCAGGTTTGGGCACAGTCCTGCATCACTAAGCAAGGAGAGAAGAGCATCTCCAGTGAGGACCTATGGCAGATCTCCCCTCAAATCATCTCCTTTCCTTCAACCCCATAAGGGACAGAACTTTGGTGTGAAAAGTCACCATAAGGCAGAGGGACCAGTGCCATCCTGATTGCCCCATCCCTGAAGATATGACTTTGCACAGCAACACCTCCTCACTTCAGGTGAATTCCCCTGACTCTTTCCCTGTTTCTGACAAGTCAAGGGTCTCTTCTTTGCAGGAGACATATTAGGAATTCCAGTCTTCCCCCTGGAAAATGTCTCCTTAAAGCTGTCCTCACTCTGCCCCTCTTCAATGCCTTGCCCAGCTTTATCTCATAACCAGCTAGGGCCAGCCAGCATCTGGGTGTGCTGGTCCAAACAAGATAGAAATTTTGAACATTTCTTCACCTCTATAACTCAGTGTAACCAGCACATTCAGGAAAAGAGAAACTGCATTTCATGACCACTCTTCAGACTTCGATGTATTCTGATGTACCCCATACACTTGCAATTTTTTTCCCCACATTATTATAGGATGATACTAAGTATATGTTAACATAAGAGCTTCCAAAGATGTTTGAAAGGCTTGTTTGTCCCTCTGCAAAAGGAAATCCTCCCCCTCACTGTCATATGCACTTATTGCTCCAGAGATTTATTCTTCAAGAGAGCCACTTTCTGGCATTGTTCCTTTTTGTTTATTAGTTATTCCTGACTTTCTGTTGAACAGGAGGTAGGAAAATTGGCACAACACACGGGAAAGGCTTTCTTTGTGTGACAATAACACAAGACAAGGCAGGGCAAGAGAGACACTTTTAAAGGATGTTGATAATAAATGAAGTAGTATAAATCATTTGCATGTACCAGTGCCTTCAGATGATAAATTAAGGGGAGAGTTTTGGCATTGGTTTTATACTGATGGGCCCTTCAGTCAGACTTAATGTGCATATGGATGAAGTTCACTAAACTCCATTAGAAGAAAGCTTTAAAAAAATTTCTCCAAACTATCCCTTAATAAATGAGTATATATATTAATTTATGTGGTTTTCCAAAGACTTGGCTTTCCATCTTGCTTTCTAGAAAATTACTTTTGATGTTTTCTCTGTTTGATCTCTCAAGTGAAGCCCTTCACCTCTACTGAGACAAGAAGTGCTGTCAATAGGTATTTGGCTGTGGTTCTGCTCCATGCAGAAGAGTCCAAGCAGCCCAGAGACTGGTTTGGCTCCTAGAATTTTTCCTATAATTAAATATTTGTGAACATTTACGTTTTTTATCTTTGATCTGCCATAGATATAAAAATGCCAGGAATATTGTGTGAAATCGGTCTGGATGAACAAGCTAAGGCACATCTCCAATATACACTGAGTTTATACTCCAAGAGATGAGTTGTATAATGCCAACCTGGGTGTTGCTGACAAAACCAACTACCTGCTCTTTTACTTTGTGAAAGGACGACCCTCTGGATAGATGCTCATTTTGGAAAGGCATGGTTATTTTTGTCATGCAAAGTTTTAATGTTTTTTTCAAATTTCAGAACCCAGGAGATCTGATCCAGCTTAGGCCTTGTTCTGAGTCTGTTTGGAATAAGAGAGCAGAAATTGTCTGCAGATGTCCCCACTTCCTGGGAACACGTAGCCAGTTGTGCCTTCCTAAGGAGTAAAATAAAAATTTCTTTTTTTTCTTGCCATATTTTTAGAGTGTCCTTCCTTTCACAGATGGAAAATTCAAGAATTCCAGGGAAATCTCAACACATGTAAGTCTGAGTTTAAGAGAAGCCTCCAAGGGAATGGGAGATCAGGAGGGCGTGTTGCCAACCTCATCACCCCGCCCTGAAGAGCTGTACTTGAACAGACTGAGTTGCTCGGGGCTGAGGGCGCTTTCTTTCCAACTAGAAAAATTCTTTCTTCTCTGTGAGAAAAAATTCTTTTGAATGAAACTTCCCTTCCTTTTTTCTTTGTGGTTGTTACAAAGACAGTAACTGTTCTCACAAGCAATCCCACAGTCACGGGTTTGGATCTACATAGTGGCTGCAAAAGGATTTGGAGGGAAAGGAAACACAAGTACGACCTGCATTAGAAGATATTTCCATATTTGTGCAATAGGATTGGAAGAACGAGGAGCCTCCATGCTTCACAGCTGAAGGGTGAGTTGCTCATCTGCAAAATGTTCTCCCTTCCACTGACAGAAAGCTCTTGAGCCATTGTGTGCTCCTGAAATACATTTCCAGGGGATGCTGCTGCATGTAAGGGTGCTGGACTCGGCACTGCTGGCTTCTCCTTGCCCTGCAGCTCTGGGCAAGTAATAGGTGCAGTAAACTCTATGGATGCTTAAAATTCCTCTGAGGCATTGTGTTGATCATTTTTCTTCCCAAGATTATTTTTAATCCCTATCGGTGTCACTGTCCAGCTCAGAGTGTATCCCTACAGTGAAAATTAGGAGGCAGAAAGGATTATTGGCTGCAGGAAGAGGTGGCAGAAGCAACCATGGGCACAGAGAAATGCCTTCAATGATGACTCAGTGGGAGGTTGAGGACTTTGGTCTGTGCCCTCTTAACCTCTGACGTGGGGCCACATTCACACTGCATAACCTGGACTGCAAAGCCAGGAAGTGGAAGAGGGGCACAGCATTTCAGTAGCTCCTGGGCAGCAAATCCAGGCTGAGGTGGACCTGGGACTGCAAGACTTGTCTTTACCTAGAAGAGAACTTATCTGTGCCAGCTTCGGAGGGTGAGGTATCACAATATGCTGCGGTCTGTGGGTACAGAGGTTGCCCATCCATGACAGTCTCACCCAGGGGCATTTGGTGCTGGGACCAGGTACTTGTGCTTTCCCTTGTAAGTACTGGGGGAGAATGGAAAATAAAGTGAGTTCTGATGGTGAGACACAGGGACAAGGAAAGGGTTGTGCTCTTCAGGAGTTTAAAAAAGCCTGAAAAATTATGCTTATGGAGCAGGGAGGAGGAGGGGGGAGATATCTGTGCTTGTTTATATTGGCCTTTATTTTATTTAGACCATGCTAGATGATGACACTAGAAGTATTTTGTGTTTAGTGATGATCCAGAGAGCAGGAATGCTCCGTGGCAGCCTGTGCAGCTCCTCCTGGCCCAGATTCCATTATACACATTTAACGCTGTTGAGGCAGCTTACAGAGCGCTGTCATCTGATGCTGAAAGCTCAAATCTTTTCTGCTCAATTGTTTTCTTTATTTTCTTTCACTAGCAGGCTGTTATCAGATAGGAGCAGAGGGAAATTAAACATCATTAAGCACTGCAAGACCTCTGCCCTTCTTGAGCTGACACAAGGGAGTTCTTAATTTCTTTGACAACTAAATAGAAGAAAACAAAACACAGTGTTCCTCATATTTTAAACAGTCACTGTAATGAAAAGGTTTAAATTCTGAAATAAAGGAATTAATCTTAGAGCTGGTGTTTGAAAAACAATGGGAAGTGTATTTGATATCTGGAAAAATATTAAGCTGGGACATTATTATAGCTATTTTGGGTGCCTTTATAGCTTATAAAGAGGTAGAAAACCAGAACCAGTATATTGCTTCTTAGAAAGCCTATCAAAGACATCACGTGCACAATGTAATTTCTGTAAACTGCTTTAATATAAATTTCTATAACAGTGGTGTTCAACAATCACTTTGTCTCAACCTGTTTTCCTTTTTCCCTGGTCTCATGGGAGAATTCTTTGAATGGATAGGAAGGAAACAAAGCTGGTGGTCCCAGCAGCTTCTGTCTTTGCCAGCTGTTGTGCTGCTAGATGGGAACTAGGTAAATGGGTTTTTCTTCTGACACTTGAAAATGTAATTTTCTTTTTGCTATGTCCTGATGTATTCTGCAGGTTTTTCCCCACAAAGAACTCACTCTGGTGTTTATGGTGAGAATTCATTGGTCTGAGGGTTGATCAGAAGCCTTAAATGCTCATCTCCCAGCCTTTCTGGGATGACAGCTGACTCTGAAACCCCCTTGGTGTCTGACAATCATTCTGCAGGACCCATCCCCAGATAAAATACCAGTGTGCAGGACAGATCTAGAGACCTTTTTTACTTTATCACATCCTCTTTTACCCCCTCAGAGCTTTTTTCACCCGGGGTCTCAGCATTGTGGCCGTAATTCATTCTCTGTGCCCAACACATGCTATCCAGAATCTGTGTAGAGTTATGTCAGCAGGGATATGCACCTTGGAATGCTGGCTGTGCTCTGGTGTGACACACCAGCCCAAACACAGCTTTGGTTTCTCCTGCACATCAGCAACTGGGATGTGCCCTGGCCTAAGGCAGATACCCTGGGGTCCAGTAGATTAGTTGGACTATTGAGATTTGTCCATCCATTCAGCTCCCAGTTCCCTTATCTCTCACATTTGTCTCTCTACTGGCTTTTCCACTTCCTCATAACTCTATTCCTGGAAAAGAGCGGGCGGGAACTGAAATTCTCTTTTAAACCTGTCTCCACTGATTTCCATTTCCACAGCACATATGATAACAGGCACGCCAGGCTTCTCCTGGGTGTCAATACTACAGACTAAATCTTCGTTTTTTTTGTTTGTTCAATTAGAGCAAACCTGGGCTGCCAGATACCATTGAAAACTGCCACATCAGCAAGGACTGAACCTGGCCAGAGGAACTTCTGATCAAGATTTTTTAGGGTCTGGAAAAGTCAGTATGTTGGATCAGATTCATTGGCTGGCAGCTGTGACAATCCTGGGAGTCCTGGAGCAAGGTAGGGAAAATTGGATGTGTGTGCTCAAATTGCTCAAACACTGGCTGGATCACTGTAACTCCACTGATTTTCTTTTGCTTTCGTATTTAATGTCTCCTGTTGCATTGGCATTTCACTGCTTTTCAGACAATGAACTGATATCTTGTCTGGGTTCTGGAGAGCATTCAACCAAACGAGTGCATGGGACGCCCTTTCTCTGAACTGATTCCCTCCATTCAGATTTTTTTTGGTAGATCTTTCCCTCTATAAATATGTAGAATTCCCTTCTTTGGGTTTACAGCAGCTCCTGAATGTAGATGTGAGCATACAAAGAACTCTGTGGTGTGAAAAGGTGGAAGGATGGGCTGTGGTCGGTCACACGAAACATCTCCCAGCCATGAGTCCACATTGCATGACAATTTAATTCAGTGTCTGGTTGGCTTATCTGTGGCATCAGTTCCATCCCTACACAGATATCAGAATTTAGAAGAGGAAAAAATAAAAATAATTAAAACCCCTTGAAATGTTAGTAATAAAGTGCATCTGAATTGTGTAACAATTTTATCATCTGCTGATTATGCAAGAAAGCGGATGACACTGGTAGTACGCGATTGTATACTCCTTGCTTCACTATAGCTCTGGGTCATTCCTTTTCCTTATCTAAAAAGTACTTGGGATTTTATTCTAACTTTCTCTGCTGCGTGGGGGTGTGGGGTTAGGAGGAGACTGCAGATATTTTTTCCCAGCCTCTGGCCAGCTCCTGACTCCATTGTGCCCAGCCATAGGACTGACCACAGCTACTTTTCTCTCTTTTGCTGCAGCCTACTTCTTCCTCCAGGTGATCTATGCTAGGAGGCTGTTTGGCATTTCACCTCCAAAGATCTCAGGCCCTCCTGAATTTGAAAGGATCTTTCGGGCACAGTAAGAAACTCCTCTTACGTGATGTTTGTCAGATCTCATGTAACTGCACTGCCTTGCTTTGCTATTCCTTTCCTGGAACTGTAATGAAACAATTACCTCCCTCGAGGTTAATTAATGGGTTGAAGAGTCAACATCAGGATTGGGTTGGCTCTTGAGTCCTAAACCAGCCACTGCTGATAGAAACCAGACAGGAATCTCTGTATATTCTCTATGTATCTATGTAATTCTCTATAGTGAAGGACTCCTAAACACATAACCCTTGGTGCCTAAGACTTAGACTAGTTTTATCCAAGTGGTGCCCAAACCTCAGGCAGCTTCAGCCCTGCTCTGAATCTCACTCACGGGGAAGGACACGTTCCTAGAGAGATCTCAGCTGGAGCTGGGATGAGGATAATCCAGCATCTCTGCTGTGACTTCTGCACTAGGGCTGCAGTGGGGAGGGAGGAGCTTCCGCTTTTGTTGTAGCTGACCACTGGAAAAAAAGCAACTGAGTAGCTGGAGCTGGATCCCCTCAGCCATCCCCTTCTTTGCTCCTTCACTAGCCTAGACTTAGCTTCATCCAGCATCTTTTGTTGGTACTTTGGGAGGACAGGGCATGGCATACAAACAATCCCAACAGTTCTGTACTTCCTCCAACTCCTGCCCAAAGCCCAGGCTGCTCTAATCTTATCTACTTGAGGGACAGACCTTCCCTACATCTTGGGGCTTTGGGGCATCGACAGCAGGGTTTGAGCTGCAACACTTGGGAAGGAGCAGGGGGAGTAGTTCATGGAGCCTTTCTGTGCACAGTCTGACCTGGGAATCTTTTACTTAATTTCTTGTACTCTGGAGACCCTGTTCTTTCCACTGTTTAATTTCTGTGAATAAAGCTTGGACAGCAACTGTGGGAAAAGGAGCAAGCCTGGAGGCTCTTTATGACAACATCAGTTCTAAAAAGCAAAAACCTCCTGTGCCTAGAAACTGCTAGAGGAAGCAAAAGAGGAAGAGCTTCCTTCCTCTCCCTAGTTTATGACCTTTCTCTTTCCTGCCAGAGTGAACTCCTCTGAGTATTTTCCCATCTTCCTGGCACTTCTGTGGCAGGCTGGACTCTTCTTCCATCAAGGTAAGAATATCCCATTACCTGGTTTGTCACTGGATCTGTCCCTCTGCATGCTGCCTCAGTCCTCAGGTCCTGCTCAACTTCTGAACAACAAATTAAGCAGTAATTCTGTCTCTGATGGGAGGGTAGAGCAAGAGGACACAGAGTCTCTATTCCTTCACTCTGGGCTACTTCCTTGGTTCCAAGTAGCTCTGAAAAGCTTTTGGAGATAGTCACTGTGATCTCTCCTAAACACAGGTCTGGCTGCAGCCTTGGGTCTGCTCTATCTCTACGCCCGCTACTGCTACTTTATGGGATACAAGGCATCATCCTCAGAAAGGTAAGCACGCTCTTGCACACTTTTATACACGTGCTCTTGCAGACTTACACACTCTTACACGCTCACTCACGCCCACACACACCCACACACAGAGTTACACACTCACACACACAGCAGCACTCAGGGGAGTACACAGTAACCCCTGGGGGTTGTATTTGGGAATGTAATGTGCTCTGGGAAAGCTCAAGACTCTTGGGTGCTCTGAGGTTCCTGCATGACTCAGCCTTGTCTCTGAGCCATAATGTGAACATGGATATAGGGCTGGGGCAACAACACAGGTAGGGGGCAGGGGACAGCCAGGGGCTGCCTTTCCACCCAGTTCTGCAGGGAGGAGGGGGCTGTTTCCAGGCGGGAAGCTCGGTGTCAGCAGCTGCCTCTCTCCCACCAGACTCACCCCAATATACTTCAGCGCTGGAGTTCTCTGGATTCTCATTGCAGTGTCAGCCCTGGGCATCCTGCATTTCTTCCTCTGTCACTACGTGGGGCTGAACGTCCTCCAGCTTCTCACAGCATGACCCACTCCCCTGTGCTTCATCACTGTCCTCATCTTCAAGTCCTGCTCCTTCCTGCCTGCCTTAATAGACTGGCTGCAACTCAACAGCTCTCAATGAGAAATCCACTCAAGCCCAAGCTTTTAACACCTCCTTCATCACTGTCCAGCACTGGCAGGAATTGCTGAGCTGTTTTGGAGATATTTTTCCCCCATGGCACTTTGTGTGCCAAGTGCTTCACATCTGGCATCTCCATCGTGTCTGATGCGGAAACAACAATCCCAAACAAGGACATAGAAAAGCAAACTCTTCTCTCAGTCTGAGTTTTCCAGTGAGTTGCCAAAATGAAGTGCCATGTGTTCCCCATTCTCCAGCAGCTCTGCCCTCATCCCAGGCACAGAACACGGATTCACGCCAGTTTTCCGAGGCCCACAACTAAAAAAGGCATTTGTTTGAAACCAGATGTGGGCTGATGAGACATAACAAAAGAGGTGAGGGGTAAACTGGAGCAGCCACCAACATGTTGTGTAAAAGTCTGTGGGTGGCCTCATGCTGGTTATCAGCCAGTGCTGTAAATCGGACTGTGCAAACTCATCACCACTGCTGCATGTGCCACTTCAAACTCGGCCCAGTGACAACAGGCACAAATAAAAGGTCACTGAACTCGCTGTCCTAGGTGTCTCTTTGTGAATCTGCAGCTAGCAGAGAACAGAAATATGAGTGTGTGAGTGCAAGGTGGCTGCCTTTGTTTCCCTGACATGCAGTCCAGTGAAGCCTGTAACCCTGTGTGCCATGGGAGAAGAGCTCTGAGGAGGAAGAAGCTGATTTTTGGAGATGTTGAGTTCATGGATTGGGTGCTGAGCCACTCAGCACCAAAAAGTGATTTACCCAAGTGCTCAGGTCCCTCCTGCATCAGGAGGGGCTGGATTTTCATGAGTCCAGTATTCAGAATACTGATGCTTTTAGCCACTGGTGCCCTCATATTGGTGCCACAGCTCAGGAAATGCCAGCAGTGCTCTGTGTGTCATCATGGGGGGAATTCACACCAAACCCAGAGAGTGAAAATAATTGCATGATGCCAGTCCAACTACATTGTAAAGTCTAATGCTCTCCCCCCTTTTCCCAGCGGTAAGCATATCTGGACTGTAAGAACAAAAGGCAGGGGCTTTTTGGAGGAAATGATTAATTTTTCACATTGTTTCTTTTCCTTCCATGCATTTTAAATTGGTTTCTCCAGCAAAGCCCCCAGACCATTTCCCTTTCAGGCTCTCCTGCCTTGGAGTCATGCTGCTGCATTGAATCTGGCAAATGCTGCAGGGTAAGGCTTAAAGCTGTACAACATAAAAACTGTACAACATTTGTCTCTACAAAGTTCTCAGTGCAGCAGGGTCCCATCCTCACTGGAATCCTCAGGTGTCACAGCAAGATAAACAGTAACTTTTTCTCCTGGCATCTTTGGTGACACATTTCAGAAAAGTCTGGGCATAGTTTAATCCTGGCTGTGCCTTAGCAAGGTCGGGGGAACAGATTTCACAGTGAGATTTCATTTAGCCTTTGCATTAACAGGCCCTACCATCTCCTGAAGTTGTTCCCCAGATCTCACCTTCTTACCACTATAACCAGTCACCTTCCAGAGTTAATGTAGAAGGACCAGCGCCAGCTGCTGGTGCAGGTCCTGACTCTGCATCAAAACTCTGCTTTCTGGGGTTAGTCCAAGTGGTGCTCACTGGCTCCGTAGACATAATCTCTGTCTTTTATCCTAGAACCAGTTTTCTAAACTCGCTATATCAACCTGGAGCCACTGCCCACCTCAGCCCCGCTTGTGTCTGCTCTGCGTTTGACAGGGCCGCAGGATGACTCAGAGGAGGGAAATTAATGATTCAGCAATGAGATTGTAGCCGGCTTCTCTCCTTGGATGCACAGAAGACCATTAAAAATCCTGGCACGGCGCAGTCAGGCTCTGGCCTTGGTGGCTGCCATCACCAATTCTGCCACAGCAAATCTGACAGCCACATCATCAGCCCTTCAAGCCACTGTCAGAGGGGTCATTTCAGGTGCTCCTAGCAGAAGGGAAGCTGCTCTCCTCCACCAGGGCTGCTGTTACTGCTCTGGTGCTTCATCAGTCAAAGAAAACCAGTTTATACCAATCGAGGGTTCAAACAATTATTTTGGGATTTACTCAATCCATGCTGCTGCTGCTCAACACGCTGTGCTCGTGCCGTATGGCACCAGTTTGCCCACCTGAACCTGTTGCAGAAGTGCTGAGAGGCCGCTGAACTGACACAGGGTGTGCTGGGGGCTGCACCTGCCACCCCAAGTCACGGTCCCGCAGGTGTGAAAGCCACCCTTGAGCACCAGTTTAAAGGTGATCCAGCCGCCAGCGGCACTGCAGCGCTCCCGTGGGCTCTGGCTCAGCGCTGAGAGGGGGGTCCCACTGCTGCCCCGGCCATGGGGGCTAGGCCCACGCCATCAGCCCCGGTCCCGCCGAGATTCGTGCCCCTATTCCCCTGGACATGCTGTCCCCGCTCCTCTCGGGCTTTGTGCCCGCTCTGGCTGCTCCGGTCCCCGCCGCTTCTCCCTGGCGTCGGCAGAGGGCGCTGGTGCCCCGCGGCTGAGCGGGGCGGGGCCGGGGGCGGCGGGGCCGGGGGTGTCCAAGAGCAGCGACCACCGACGGCTCCGGGCCCTCCGCCTGTGCCCCAGCGCCGCCGGCTGCACCCCGGCACCTGTCCGGGACAGCGCTCACCAGGCAGCCGGCACAGCCATGGCTTCTGGCACTCGCCCACCAATCCTCCTGCTTCGAGTTTGATCCGTGCTGGGCCAGGCTCTGGCTTTAAGTACTGGGTAGGAGAGTCCTGGAGCCTCGCAGGAAGCTCCTGGGGACGCTTACGACACATATAAAGCAAAGCGCTTTGCGGACTCCAGAGCTCCTTCCTGCTTCCACCTCTTACGGCTGCCAGTTCATTGCCAGCAGCGGGGAGAAAAAACGTTTGGAGTGCGGTATTTGGAAACAAATGCGCTCTGATATGCCACAGGCTCCCAGGATGAGCAGCCAGCCGGATGGGAGGCCAGCAAAGGAAACCCGCAGAACCAGCGAGAACTTTTTTATCACGAGAGGCGCAGAGGCTGAACTTGTAAACAAGCCTCTGTCCCCGGCGGGGCGGGTTCCACGCGAGTGACGGTGGAAGTGCAGCAGAGCTCTGTCCCGGACAGTGTGGCTGCCACCCCACCCGCTGCACGCACCGCCGGCACGCAATGTTGCCACCGCCGTGTTCCCAGGATCCCAGACAGGTGTCTGCAAGGCTTTTGGATCACAGTGAAGAAGTTTGTAGCTTATTATAGTGAAAAGTCCAAGGGCACCCACGTGTCCTTCCCTCTACGTTAGGTGCTGGGCCCGTGCCGGATACCGGCATGGATAGGTCTGGTACGGGCAGCGGCGGCTTTACAAGTGGCCATCAGACCGAAATATTGTGCCCTGGCGTGAGGAAGAAGAGCATCGGTGTCCCCAAGCCCACGGAGAAGCACCCCAGTCCCTCCGGAGCATGGCTTGGTGGGACGGAGGGAGGACACCCTTGAATTTTTCCCGGGAAGCAGGACTGCTAACTTCCTTTGGCGGGGTGTTTGGGAGGGAAACTCCCGTGGGGCCGGGAAAGGAGGGTGCAGCTGGTGGCCCTGGCTTTGTGGCACTGGCATGTCAAGCAGGTTTCCATAGCACCAGCATCCATAACACGGGGCCAAGGGGAGGGAGAGAAGTAGGTCAGACAGGGCTAACAATACCCAGACGTGTCTATCTGTGGCTCGGCCTGACCCAGGAAAGGGGTAAAATGGAGAAGAATGGAAGAGGGAAAGAAAAAAAAAATAAAGTATCCACAGTCTGAGCAATGCATTTATTTCCCTCAGAAAAATAAGGACTTTTTAAAGCCACTTTTGTGTATCAGCGCTGAGCAACCGAGACTAGCACCCACCTCCTGCCCATCTGACAACGGGCTACAAGGGAATTCAAATGCTAATTTGGAGCCAGAGTTCTCAATGGGCCTTTATTTCTGCAGCAGCACCAGGATCAGAGCTTTCGGGAGCCAGCAGGCAGGGGCTGTGAGGATGCAGTCTCAGAGCAGGACTATGGGACACTTGCCTTTCCCCTCACCATTACTCACCGTCACTTTGTTACGCCTTGTCTTAGTTTTACTTGTGTATATGCAAATTACTTCAAGGGCAAGGAAAAAGTAAGGCGGGCACATGAAGCTGTGTGAGTGAAATGCCCCCGCTAGTGACCCATTTTATGTGCTGAGTTTGCAGAAGCCTCGCTGTCGCTGTCGTTGTCACAGCATTTTGGGGGTTGCCTGCTTTGCAGTACGATAGTTTTGAGCTATGTGTCCATCAATGCCAAAAGCAGGAAGAACATTATGGGCAGTGAGATCCAGAATCCTCTTGGTCCAAGCAAACACATAGACACACAGATCTGCTGGGCGTGTAACACAGCAAGGTCAGGGGAAGGAGTGCTTTGCTCCGGGGGAACTGGAGAGTGTGGGTGCAAGAACACAGCCATCACTGGAGAGGCTGAGATGGACTGGGGTGAAGAGTGTGACTGAGGCTGACCTGTGTCATACCTCCGGTTGGAGAACACCGTGCTTGGCTTAAACATCACCCCCACACCATCACAGAGGAGATGCAGCAGTGGATGCAGGCACATGGTGATTCAGACTGGCCATTGAGAGCAGGCCCCTCGCCTGCAGGCAAGTTCTTGCTTTACATTAATCACAGGCTGTTCATGCACTTGATCGTGCAGTAAAGTCTAAGCAAATCCAAAGCTGTCTGCAACTTTGTATATTAGCAGGTCGGGAGGCCAGGAAAATCCACACTCTAAAGTTACAATTTGCCTCATTCTCGTCAGTTTTCTATCAACTAGCAATTACCACTTGTAAGAGAGCTCCAAGAATTTACCTCTCCCCAGATGAGGGCAGGGCCACAGTATACGTAAGATGGGCAGGGCTTAACATGGCCCTTTGTGAATGCCCCCCCTCCAAAGGAAAACTGACCACCTGCTGTGGAACCTTAGGGAAGAGCACGCCCAGCTCCAGCCCCCACCAATGCTGTGCCAGACTCTGTGTTCAGGGACTAAAGGTTATGTAGGAAGAGACAAAGGGTCAGCACTCAGGAGAGCTCACAGAGCACTTCTGGAGTGAGAGAGTAAACGAAGATCTGTACCTGAGCGTGTGTATCAGCTGCGTTGCTTTGATGCGGCACTGGTTGACAAGAGAAAGCTGGGTGACCCCAAATTACTACAGCAACATTGCCTGCAAGGAGTAAAAGTCAGGGATCATCATTCCAGTGAGGTCGAAGCCAGTGAGCTGTTGTGGTCTCTGCTTCTGAGCCTGCAGTTGGCAAGTGGCTAAAATAGGCTCAATTTCATGAAAGCATTTTGCCAGGATAACAAGAGCTCAGGACTGCTGTCTGCCCTGATACAGTACCACAGCACACTCTTCCAACATTGGACTGAGTCACCTCACTGTCCAGTATCTCCAGCTTTACAGCTCGTTCTCCATTTGTGAGGGTATAAAGAAATGCAGACAAGGCTCCTTGGAGGTATGTGAATGGCCACTTTCCCACCTCTCTCCTGGCAGCACGGACAAAGTGCCAGGGTGCTGCGAATATTCTGCCTGAGTGAAGAAACCTTTCCCGGGAGCAGCCTGATGAGCTCAGCATGACGCTGCTCAGCCAGATGGCTCCTGGACCAGAGCTGACTCATGCCCACAGAGCTCAGGCAGCAGGACAGGCACATACCTGCAGCACGCTGTGGGAGACACTTCACCCCGGCTGGCCTTGCACTCACAGTGGGGCAGCTCCAGTGGTAAAAAACAGGCGTTCTTCCCACTGCTATAATTCTAATGCTGAAAAACTGAAACGTTGGCAGGCCTGGGTTCCACTGACCAACAGAGAAACGCCAGACTGGTGAACTCTCACACCAACCCTGAAAGGGGGCAACCATTGAGGGAGCAGAACTCTTCATTCTCACAGTGGCAAAGGATGGTGAGCACAAGCTGTGGATAAACTGATGGCACAAAGGGAAGGGTGATAGCTTCTAACACTGCAGCAGTGGCCTCAGAGAGAATAAGGGACTTGGGTATGTGCTTTCCACTAAAAAAGTGTTTCTCAACCCCCCCAACTGTTTTCCAACTTGGCTTGTTAGTGAATTACAACTTAGGAAAACTGGGAAACATGAGCTACATCCAATCCATGCTGCAGACCACCATTTTCAGAGAAATAAATAAGGGTAGAAAACAAAAGTGAAAAGGAAGAAAGGCCAAGAGTAGCCAAGAATCCTCTTAAATTGTCCAAAGCAAACATGGGAGGGACACTGCACTGTCTAAGCTGTGAACTGGCAGCATTAGTGATGAACATGGCCATGTTATCTAATATGGCAGAACACACATAATGCATTTTTAATAGCATTGTTTAGCTTCTATTTGTCACAGCATTACAGCTAGAGGCTGTTTCAAAAAGCATGGGAAATAACAGAAAAGTTATAATTGAAGGGTAGGGCTTTTGACTGGAGGTCACACACAGAGAGAAACATACAAAGCATCGGTAGTATAAGACTTACATGTATTCCCTGTTTTCAGAGCCCACATGAAAAACAAGTCAGCTGCAGCAGTGTTTACTCAGAGTTAATCAGGTTTGCAGATTAACTGTAGGATCCTGAATTATAGGTGCTTACATGCAAACATGAAGCACATGCAAAACACGTAGCTGAGACATGAAAAATGAACTCTGTGATGGCAGCAGCAGAAGAAATAGGTAACAGCTAAGGAGGAAAGGGAAGGCGCATACAGTGATGATGGACTGAGTTCTGTTGTCTCTTCAGAGCAGGTATTTAAGTTCTGATCAATTCTCCTTGTAATGGCAAATGCTGATCCATGAAAGAATCGTCGGAAATTATTTTTTGCATTGCAACAGTATCTCCAAAACCTACTCAGAAATGAGCATCTGTTTCGCTCCCAGACACACAAAGTGTCTCCATATGCTTGGATGACTACAGAACTCTCAAACCAGAACTGCAGATTTTCTCCATTATTTTCTTGTCCTGGAAAGAAGCACAAGTAAGATAACAAAGAGAGAGTGGTAAAAAACAGAAAATTCTTGATCAGGTATGAGGTTTGAAGAGCTTTACTTTGGTCCAGCTTAACTCTACACCTGTGTACTCAGCTTTATGCATCTCTCTGCAGCTGGACTGGGGCTCCTCGCCATGAACCTGTGGGGAATTTGAGATGTTCCACAGGAGCTGTGACTATCTGGCAGATTTCTACTCTGAAGGCCACCTCTTTGTCCATTTTCTCCCTGATTCACTACAACAGCAGGCTGAGCTTGGCTTGGATTACAGCCCTCACTCCCCCAGCTGACTTGAATGAGGCAAAACCTTCTGGTTTTGAGAGCAGCTCCTCTCCCCTGCTGTCTGGACAGCAGGTGTGCCTTTCCTCTTTGCAGGAATGAAACAGTGAACTTTGGAAGTAGAACAAAGCCTTTTCACGAAAAAAATATGTACCCAGAGCTGCAGCGTGAGCTGCTGGGTCTGTTGGAGGGGAAGGTGCAGGTGTCAGGATCACACCATAAAACAAAAATCCAGATAAACATGAGTTTGAATCCCAGAAGAAATCATGTAAAGAAGAAACTGTACCAATGTTTTCAGGAAGATATTTGTCTCCTGTCTCCCTTTGTGCAAGTGCTCACATACCATGGGACCACCCCTATGTGCAAAAGCACTTAACCAGCCAGGGCTTCTGAGGAAAAGGGCTGCTCTGTTAGCAGTAATTCCATTTGAATTGTTAATTATTTTTGTCCTTCAAACACAGCATATACATTGACTAATCACAACTCTTCTGATAACTATTTATGTCTTTGCTTGTCCCTGCTGCTCATAGTCACGTTCTTCCTCTGGAAGTGGCTGTACCAAACTTACTGTGGGATATGTCAAAGACAGGCTGAGTTTTTTGCCTAAGATTAGTAGCAGTTACATATTTGCAGAAAGAAGTCATATGACCTTTATTCTAATACTGGAAGGATATCCAGAACTTCTTGTCAGTGTGAACACAGGATGATTTTAATTTCCTAAGAGACCTCTAAAGCAATGTCTTACATTAGAATCCTGTTTAACTAAATAAACATAGAATCAAGAAAATATTAGGCAAATCAGCCTTAATTTCTCACTGTAAATTAGATAGCAAGAGAACAGGCATTACAGCTCTCTTTAAAGCAATTTAACCATGTAGATCATGATGCATAAACAACAGAAAACCCATTTTCTGTCCTTTTCCAAACGCATTGAGGACTAAAAATACCTATCAGGACTAATAAAATGACACATAGTAAATGTACCCCAGTGTATAAACATTAATATGTACTATAAAAAGCCAAAAATTATCGTTATGTCACTGCTAGAAACGCAAAGGCCTCAACGGGGATTAGCAAAGGGATTTGCTTTACAGTCACTAAAACTCGGCCAGAAACAAAGCTCGGAATCGATGCCACACCTCCACAGTCCTAAGGTCACCTCTTATCTCTTCAATCTCACAGCAAGGCTCCCTTGCAGCTATTTTAACATGAAGCTGCTTCAGCTCATGATTCTTTGTGGAGACGGTCGGTCTGGTTGGGAGAGCGTGCTCTCAGGGCGCAGAGGGCATGTGAGAAGTGGCCATTCCCAGCACCCACCCGGGGATCCCAGGCCCAGCTCCAGCACAGGAACCTCCTGCACCAAACCCAAACAGCCCCAGCAGTGCCTGAGCGGGGTCTGCTCAGGCCGGGCTGCGCTCCCCACAGCCGGGCTGGGCTGCACTCCCCACAGTCGGCCTGCCCCACAGCCGGGCTGCGCTCCCCACAGCCGGGCTGCCCCACAGCGGCCCTCGAAGGTGCGCGGGACCCTCACGGCCTCGCCGGCCAGGCCCGCGCAGGCCCCGTCGTGCCCGGCCCCCGCCGCGGCGGGAGGCGGAGCCGAGGCCAGCTGACACCGGCGGCGGGCGGAGCTGCAGTGCGCGGAGCCGCCGATCGCCGCCGGAGCCCCGCGGCTGCAGCTCGCCGTGAGCGCGGGTGCCGGGGAAACGGAGACGGGTGGGGGGCGGCGGGGCGGGCGTAGGGGGAGGGACAAGGCCACCGCCATGTTCGGGAGCCGGGAAACGGAACGGGCGGGGGCGAGACTCGAACCGGAGCCGAGGCCGGGAACAGAGGCTCGAACCTGGGCCCCTGGGGAATCGAACCCGGTCCCGTGGGGGGCACAGGGGCTCGCGGGACCCCCGGGACGGTTGCGCTCTCCCCCCTCCATTATTTCCCCCCCTCCCCCCACCGCGCGCGCGGGGGGCCGGACGTGACTGGCTGCGTTCAATTTGTCACGCGGCCATTGGCTGGCGGGGGCGGGCGGTGCGTGACGTCAGCGCGCGGCGCTGCGCGGCCGGCGGCCATTTATAGGCGCGGAACGGGCGCTGCGCAGCCGGAGCGAGCGGGCGGTACCGGGCCACGGGCGGCTGTATCGCGGCCCATCCCCGTGGGAGTGCTGAGAAACCCCCCGCGGAGCGCCGATCCACCTTCTCCGAACGTCCCTTCGGCCGCCACTGAGCTTTTGTTTCTGTTCGCGCAGCGCCTGAGCGCCCCCGCCCAGCTTTGTTCTTCTTGCGGCCCCTGCGGGGAAGGCGCGGCCAAGATGGATCCTTGTCACACCGAGGAGACCGAGGGCGAGATCCCCGGCCTGGGTAAGGTCTAGCGACCGCGGGCGGGGAGGGAGCGGCGGAAGGGAGAGGCGGGCGGGGGGAGATGGGCGATCGGGCCCTCGTGGTGGCGCCCGCTCGGGTCCGGTGCCGCGGAGGCCCCACGATGGCGCGGGGGAGAGGGGGGGGGCGGCGGGGACGGGCCCGGCCGCGTGCGCCGCTCAACCCCCCCTGCCGCGTGCGTCGTGTCGGGCGGGGCCGCGGGGACTCCTCGGGGTCGCTGTCCCGCCTCCAGCGCCGCTGCCGCGCCCGCGGGTCCCTCCCCGTGCTGGGGGGGGGTGGGGGTGAGATCGCGAATGAGATAAGCGTAAATTACAGTTTATTACAGGTCTAACGTCCAGCCTTAAGTAGCGTAAATCCGGTGGAAACGGCCACTCAGTAAAGCAGAAGTTGAAAGTAAAGGTTTCTGGACGCCATAACAGTCTCGTCTTAAAATGGTGAACCCGTGCCAGTTATTGCAAAACAACCCTGCTCAGCGCCTGCTATCTGTTTACTGGGTGTCGGCCTCTGACAACCGCTGAGCTCCCCCGCGGGGAGAGACACTCGAGAGGCAATATGACTTTTAAATCTTTATTAAACAGAGAATATATAGGGAAAAAAATCATCAAAGCACACACCATATTTGTTCTTCCTAGCTGTACAGAAAGGTCTATCAAAACCCACACAGCACAGACAAGGAAAAAAAATAAACCCCAAACAATGTTTTTACAACTTTTGGCTTGCTTTAAAATTAGCTATATAGGTAATACATTTGTAAAGTAAATTTTTGAACACGGATTATTAGGTGAACTTCAGGGCCTTACTCGAATTAATTTTCATCTTCCAAAGCAGTCAGGAAAGACTTGACCTATGAGAAAAAAACATATGTATTATTCGGTGCATTAAAAGCTAAAGTACCAGGCTTTTCCCTTTCTTTGTAAAGAAATAGTTTGTTACTGTAGTTTTCCAGTGATGTTTTGCCCCTACATTTAATTCATGACCTGAAATGCATATGGCCTTTCAGAGGGGCAAAGGTAGAAGATGCCACGTCTAAGTGTTCAAAACAAAGCTATTAATTGCTGGTTTCCATGAGGATGTAATGACAAATATCTCCACAACTGATCACTGTGTGCCCCTTCCTAGTTTATTTAGAGCTGTTTAATTGAGGAAATTACTGAAGAATGACTCCTTTAAGCCGAGTCTAATCTCAAATTTGATGACCCAGAACAAGATGAAGAAAATGGTTTATGGTTTGGTAGGAGAGCACTTCCTCATGCTTTTAAGTATTAGGAGGAGGTTTTTTTTCCCATGGACTGGTCAAACAACTCCTCTAGAGTTTCTTTTGACATTCACCTCCCAAGTCTTGCCTTTCCTTGGAACTGGTAAACACCATTTTGACTGAAGTGACCTTTTTATTATCACCTTGTTTCCTCAAATGGTTGTTTACTCTTCCTCCCAACTCTGTTTGGAAGTGTTACTACTTGCGTGGTAACCATAGAAGAAAAGGAGATGCAAACCCCCGACATTTGATACTTACTTTATCAACCAGGTACTCCTGTTTAATTTTATCCTTCTTAAAATCTTCATTAACATCCAAAACTAGAATAGGAATTTCCTTAATGTACTCAAAATCAAGTCTGTTAAATAGAAGAACATAGTTTGAGTAAAAACTACATAAAATACTGTGTATACAAGACCTCTGCTCTTGATTACCACGTGCACCCAAGATGTTAAAGCTGATGCCCAAAACTTAAATGTAAAGCTCCTGCCAAGTTTGTCCTTAATTGGTTTTCATATATTTCACAAATGTGAACTCTTAGTATCTATCTGTAATGTACAAGTGGGGGGGAAGATAGTTTTTTACCTTAATTTCCTTTACCTCTTTCTTGTCATGGAATCAGTTATCAGTTTTGTAAAATGAAGTATTTTCTTTTTTTAAAATCTCCCTTGTCCTGTATCTCCCCCACCTAATCCACTTACCAAGATATATTTTTAAAGCTTCCTTTCATGAGGATGATCTCTTTAACAGGTTAGAAGACTGGTATTTAAAATGTGTTTGGACATAAGCAAAACCATTTTGGCTTCAGTTTAGGAACAGATGGGAGCAGTAGTTAGTCTTTCTTCTGAGTGTGGAAGGCCTTTCTAAAATGCAGTATGTGTGCTGAGCAACATTCTAACTTGTGCTTGCACACTTCAGTGTTCCTATTACAAACACAGGAAGTGGCTTGCTTACAAATTTGGAATGAGTACACAATGTAAACATTCCCAGAATTCCACACTATGCGCTGCCTTCTGTCTCCTAAGCATTTGGGTCATCCTATGTGAAAACTTCAGCAAACAGATCAAACTGATAATGTACTTTTCCTGGAATTGTAATGCTTCCCATTCAGTAGAATATTTTGGGCTCCTCTAGGGGAAAATCTAGAGTCTGCTTTCATGTTTAGAGATTCCTTAGATGAGAAAGCCAGTAGGAGTTAAAAAAGTAGAGATCACTCAGCTGATGGTTAGGTTTCTTGTCTGTAACAGGTCTGCAAAAGACCTTCCTGATTATTGTTTAAACTGAAGCTTATTTAAAAGTAGTTGGGGCCTTGTCTACCCCTTACATTGCAACAGAAACTGGACAGTGATAAATGTACGTGATTGGCCCCTGAACACCATTTTAAGTGTCCTATTCCCGAGTTCTTCCAATTAGCAAAATCCATGTCCTTGCTGGAGTTAGAACTGTAAAGCTTCCTAGTTGAAGCTAATGCTTAACAAAGGTTTTAAATTAGATGGAAGTTCCATCTCTTGAAACCTGAAGTGTGTGGGGTGTAAATAGAAGTCTAACTGCCTGAGTGAAGCTAGACTTATGGTAAACTTGGTAAAACTAAGGCTTAGTGTAGGAAAGAGCCTTGCCTACAAGTTGAAACTTGCTTCAGAAAATGGGTTCCTACCTCATAGTCCTTTCATGAAGCCAGGTTTCGTGTTTATAGTGGAGATTTTCCAAATACTCAAGCTCAATTCCTTGCTCCTCTTCTCTTCCCCTCATCTGTAGCCTTTCCATGCATTTCTGGAAAAAAAAAAAACAAACCAAAACACTATAAACCTGGTCAATAATCCTGTGTTGTAGGTTAAATCAGCTAAACGGATCAAGTGGCCCTAACTTGGAAGGACTAATGCTAGACATTAGTGAGCATTAATTTTAACTATTTGGCTGAACATAAATGAGTTAAATCTAGAATAACTTTTAGAAGTACCCTCTTAAGCCTCTGGAAAACAAAGTTTGAACTGAAAAACCTCCATTTTTAGTGAGCATACCTGAGGTGTGGTTCTGAGATAGATCATGCCGTCCAGTTCTATATCTGATTGAAACTGATTCAAAAGCCATGTATGCCAGTCCTGATAAATTGACCACTCTGTTTCATTAATGCTTCCAGACTCGAACAAGTTAGAAGCAAACACGTATCTGCAATGAAAAACATCAGTCTCATGCCAGGAATGACAAAAGTGAACTACCAAAACACTTGTCATTGGAACAGAATGATGGTATTGAAAAAATGCCTCAATCAAGCCTGCTCCCTTGCAAATATTAGTTTAAATATCAAGTGTTTTCTCAGCTCCATGTCTTTAAAAGACCTGGAAGCTGTTAATGGGAGTTCTTGCCGTGCTGTGAGAGTAATTACCTGTCACTGTACACAGATCTTTCGAAAAATTGTACTGGATGTTCTGCTTCATGTAGCTTGGCTGAGACAGGTTTTAATTGTGCTTTTACTCGGCTCAAACAAGCATAAGTCTGAAATGTGTAAGCCCATCTTGTGGGTTTGTCATACAGCATCTGAAGCAAGTTTCCTCCACTCTTCTGAGATGTTGAAAGTTCCTAGAAGGCAAGAGAAAAAAGTTAACATGAATGTATGGCTTTTCTCGGTCCAGAATGCTGAGATGTTTTAAATAAGAATTCTTGGCTTTCTTTTTATTATGAAGAAAATGCTTAGGCATAGGATCTTTGAGACTTTTCCCTCCGGTGATAGTGGTTTTTGTGACAGCTTCTTCGAGTAGTTTGAGTTCCAGATTTTAGTGCAATTCCCGTGAAGTAGGGGATGTAATTTGGAATATACATTCAGTAGTATCTTGCCTTTACAATTTGAGTGCGAGTGCCTGACCAGCTGTGGTATGATAGTGGGGATGATCTGGCTGCTGCAGACTTAAGTATAGCTGGATTTTGGCATAGCCCCTTGTCTGTGGAACTACTTGCAGTTTCTTTCGGCCCAGATCCTGCTCACCTACCTTATACTCATCCTCGGCTGTCTGGATGTTGCACCATTTAGCGATGGGCTCGGGGATGATCTCCCACTCATCGCTGTGTTTCTCCAGCAGCCTGACAAACGTTGACTTCCCCGCAGCTGCGGAAGATTAGAGCAGTTCACAAAGGGGTGGGGGTTGTTTGCTGTGGTGCTACTGATGGACAGGGGGACAGTTTGAGAGTTGTTAGCGACTAGTGGAGCGCGGGGCCGGCCGTGTGCGCAGTGAAGCAAACAGCGCTAATCTGCCGTGCCGGAGGGGCCGCGCCCGGCCGGGCTGGCGATAAGAGCGGCCGAGGAGCAGCCGACATTTTAGGAGCTGCCGTGGCGGGCGGAGCCTGGCGGGAAAGCGAGGGAGCGGCCGCGCAGGCGCTGGGACTTTGGCGCGGGCGGGAGCAAACGGGCGCTGCAGCCCCGGACAGGCCACGGGGCAACGGGGGTTTGTGCTTCTGAGCCTGCCCTGCGCCTTGGAGTGACTCATGGGCACCCTGCCCGGGGGGCACCCCATCCACCCCAGCCTTGCTCCGGGTTTGGGTCCCGGTGCGGCTCTCCCTGCAGAGCCCTCCGCTACCCGCAGAGCCGGGGGGACAAACGCCGTGGCCGCCCCTCTCCCTCCCAGTCTGCCCCGGTACCCCAAACCCTTGGGGTGCTCTAGGCCCCCCCGCCCCCTCCTCCCCCAGGCTCCCCTACTGCCCTGAACCGCCTCCCCACCGCCGAGCTCACCGATGTTCCCCTCGATGGAAATCTTTCTGAGGCGCTTTTGGAAGCTGGAATCGAGGGAGCCGGGGGGGCTCTGGCAGCGCCGCTTGGCAGGGGTAGACATGGCGGTGCCGAGCGGGAACTCAAGGGGTTCCCAGCTGCTCCAGCGCACTTTAAGCGTCCCGCCAGGCGGGTGGGCGGGATGGTCGCTTCCCGCCAGTCCTCCCCGGGAAGAGGCGGAGGCGCTGCTCCCTCCCCCGCCGCTCCTGCCCAGCTCCTGCCGCCGCGGTGTTACAAAATGGGCATTCGGCAAGTGAAATGGCGAAAAGAGCTTTTTGCAGGAAGTGACTGTAGCACGGTTCCACTTACTGATCTAATTTGCATTTCTGTAAACCAGTTCGCCATGTTGTTTGATTTACGTAAACTTGAGCATGCACTTAAAAAAAAAAGTAAAACCGCCTCCAGCTGTGGGGGTGGGGTAGTTGTCAGTAGTCCAGAATGCATCAGTTACGTGAGAGATGAGGCAGTGTAGGCTTACAGTCTGTTTTAGTACTGACTGGAGAGAAAACACTAATGGAGGAATAGTGTTCATCTGGAGACTGCTAAGAGCAGCTTCTGGGCTACAAATATCTATGTCGGTGCTCTAGGAGCCTGCTTAACTCGAGGCATGGGTCCTCTATCACCTTGGGTAGACAAGTTGAAACATGAGCTGGTTATCCAAGGGGAAAAGGGGATGGACGATTCTTAGATGATGAGTTATTCCAGTTTCCTCTTTGCTCCTCGGTAATACTGAGATTCAAGGTGAAATCTAGCTAGGTCTGGTGTGTTTGGAGGAAATGGGAGGGAATTAACTTTTCCGTTCTTTTATCATAATTGTGATCCATTGTCTCTTCTTTCCCCATCTCCTCCAAACACACCAGGCTTCAGTGACCGAAGCGAGCAGATTGTTTCACGTGGGGTAGCGTCAGCCTTTGAAGCTGGTAAGTGCTAGTTCCCACGTACGGTGTGCGCAGCCAAAGCGCTCCGCTGTCCGCGCCACGCGGGAGCCGCGACGGGCCGGGGCGGGGGCGGCAGCGCGCGGGGCACGCGCAGTGCGGCGAGCGGCGCCCAGGGCGCGCGGGGCCGGGGCTTTGTTCGGCGCGGCGGGCGGGCGGCGCGTGCGCACAGGCGGCGCGCGGGGTCTCGGGGGCGGGGCTAGGCCACATCGGGGCGCATGAGCCCCGCACCCGCCTCGGCCACGCCGCAGCCGGTCCCGTGCTCGGCGCAGGGCTCCCGGTGCTCAGTACCCGCTCGCCACACGCCGCTCTCTGCGAACTGGCCGTGGGCGCTGAGCCATCGCCGGGGGCCGCGGGCTCGCCAGAGCGGCGTCTGGGACCGCGCTCTTTGTGCGGAGGAAGGCCCAGCCCAGCGGAAGCGGGAGCACCCGCCGCCATTTCCTAGCGCGCTCTCGCCACAGGCTCGCCCGCTCGCTGCCGCCTGACCGGGACTAGGCGCTCTCCGGACAGCGGATCAGGCTCGGAGCCCTAGAACCAGCGCGGAGCCCCACCATGTGTGCGTGCGGGGAAGGGGCAGGGCGCGGGCCGGGGGCGGGAGCGGCGCCGTGTGTGTGAGGCGGCAGCGCCCGAGGCAGAGGAGGATCAGGGAGGGCCGGGACACAGGCCAGGGGGGCCGCCGGGCGCTCTGAGGGGGTGCGGGTGGCGGCCGTGCTGAGCAGCATCTCAAAGGGCCATTTCTGGTCTTTCCAGCAACCACAGAAGCAGAGACGGAGCAGAGCCTCACCCCCAATGTGATGCTCAACTCGGAGAGCAGCGAGGGATACGTGGTGAAGGTCCGGGGACTGCCTTGGTCCTGCTCCACCGAGGAGGTGCAGAGGTTCTTCTCTGGTAAGTAGGGCTGTGGGGAAATAAGAGGTGTGGGAGAGGGGCCGGGCTCTGCTGTCAGTTCTGGGTCCCTCACAAGGACACTAGCAGTGGGAGTGCTGTAGTGAGGAGTTCCAGGAGGACTCAGTAGCCAGTGCAGTTTGTAGTGCAACAAGTGCTTCAGCCAGAACCTGATATGCAAAGCCATGTTCGTGCTAGCAGGAGCTCAACACGAAGGCGCTTAGTCTGAGTTGCTGAGATAGCCACAACTGCCTTTGCTTCTTGAGCAACTAGGAGAGAGAAGGTTCCATTATAAAGAAAATTCAATCTCAAGTAAGAATATTGAAGCTAAATCAGTTTAGTTCTAGTATTGTCCTAAGAGACTCTTGTTAAGTGTTTAGTGTGTGTGTGTCCTTCCCCAAATTATTAGCATCTGCAGTAATAAATGCATGCTTTCTGCAGCATCTGGGGCTTTTAAAACTGCTTCAGGATTTTGGTGTATTTGACTTGGTTCTGACTTAGTTTATTACGCTTACACTGATTGTTACTATTCCTTATTTAATGCTAGTAAGAAAGTTATGATCAAAAGCGGATAGTATGTTCAACTTAAGGCAGAAAAGCTTTGGAAATAGCTAATTGCAGTTATCCTTAATAGTGATCCATATGCTTGACTAAACAGTAACTTTAGTTAGCTTCTTAATTAATTGGTCATTTTACAGTTGTAACAAGAATGCTGCTGGTTTTGTTGTCTTGATATAACTGATACTCAGTACTTTTTTTTAGGTTTTCTGAAACTTTCAAGGTAACACTGTTTCTGTAATAATTAATATAATTTTGGCCTTCCTGTTTAACTTTCAGATTGCAAAATTCTGAACGGGGCATTGGGTATCCGTTTCATCTACACCAGGGAGGGCAGACCAAGTGGAGAAGCATTTGCTGAACTTGAGTCAGAGGAGGATGTGAAATTGGCCCTGAAAAAAGACAGAGAAACAATGGGACACAGATACGTTGAAGGTTTGACTTGGTCTAGTAACTGACTACATTGTGTTTGTGCTTGATGGGTTTTTGGTTAATTGCTTTTTTTGTCTCTTTAAAATGCATGTGAAAGGACAAATGGACTTGCATATATATATATATATAAGTTGACTAGTTTCAAGGCAAATTACTTTAAAAATTGTTCCTTACTCCAGAATGCATTAATTCTAAGTGCCTTTTACAGTTTTCAAGTCAAACAACGTTGAAATGGATTGGGTTCTGAAGCATACTGGTCCCAACAGCCCTGATACAGCTAATGATGGTTTTGTACGTCTTAGAGGACTTCCATTTGGCTGTAGTAAAGAAGAAATTGTACAGTTTTTTTCAGGTATGTGGGATACAAGTAGTAGCTATAGCACTATTGGTTTATGCTAAAAAACCCCAACAAACCAAACAAGCCTGGATTGCCCAATAGTACTTCCAACAGTATTATCATGGGTATTAAAAGTAAACAACCCAATTCTTCACTAGTTTCCTGGGCTTGAGGAATCCTTTGGATCACTTCCTAAAGTACTTGATAATTAAATAATTTAGGGAATGCCAAAAAGTTGCTGGAATTTATACTTGGTGGAACATGCTGTTCCAAGTAAGGATTGTAGAAAAGTGTCTTGCTTTCCAAATAAAGCTGAACAGTTCATGTGGGAGGATATTTCTGCCCCCAGCCTTGGCTGATTGGCCCTGGTCAGTAAAGGATGTAGAATACCCTCACCACTGGGCTCTGTGTGAGGAATAGGTTCTCACTAAGGGTCCATGACCTCTTCCCAACATAGAGCTAGTATTGAATGAAATTCAGAGAAAACCTGCTGAACTTGGTACCCAAGTACAGATTTACAGATTTGCCCCTTTCTCTTCCTATGGTGCAAAAAACCCCACCAGACCCTTGATGTTGCCTAGCTTGAAGTTTTTATGGATGAAGAGATAATGTCTTGTTTTGACTAATTTTTACTTTTTTGCAGCTGTTTTATGTTTTACAAACTGGAATGAGACTATTACAATGTCCAAGAATGGAATTTGTTGATTGTTTAGTATTTCACTTGTTACTATTTTCAAAATACTAGATTTATAAATGTTTTGCTATAACAAGATATGATTGAACTTGCTGTTTTGCTTTAAAATACAGTAGAAACATTTCCAGTTTTACAGTCTCAGAACTTGTTTTTTGTTTTCTGAATTGGTGATATGAACAAGAGCAATTTCTAAGCATGTGCATTTTAAGATGTTTTTTTCTTACATGGTGAAATAATTCAAGCTTTATAGTTGTTAATGTGCTTAATATACAAAATGTGTCTCTTCTGTTCAGGAACTAATACTTAAAAGTTACTTCATGATTTTTTTCTTAGTTAAGCACTCCTAAATATTAAAAAAAAAAACCCAAAGAAACAACAACAAAAGCAATGCTGAAACTTGATGTTTGCATAAGACTAATTATTTTACCTGAGTGACTTCTAGTAAAATACTTGTTCTGTATAAAGCTGTTTAACTTGCTGTGTTTAAGTTCTCTTTAAAAGTTCATCTTAAATACTTTCACAGAATTGACGAGGTTTGTAATAATGTGTGAAGTTCTTAACGCACCCTGCATTAGATGCCTTCTCTGAGGGGCTCTCCTGACCCTCAGAGCATTTCTGTGCTCTGCAGGGTGGGTTAAGAACCTGAACTGAATGGTATGTGATCATGGAGCTCTTTGTTGACATGCGTTTTTTATTCTGGTGTTCTAGAATCAACATACCATTCTCTTAAAAGTGTTTAAATTCTGGTGTTTTTAAAGCTATAAGAAAAAACTCATGACTGGGCTTGTGATGTTAATATTGCCCCCCTACTGGGGTTATTTGTCCTTGGGTTGAAGGGTTGGAAATCGTGCCAAATGGGATAACATTGCCGGTGGACTTCCAGGGGAGGAGTACGGGGGAGGCCTTCGTGCAGTTTGCTTCACAGGAAATAGCTGAAAAGGCTCTAAAGAAACACAAGGAAAGAATAGGGCACAGGTGGGGATGGATGGTTGGTTGGCTCTGTCACTTTTCTTATGGTAAACAATTAAATCCATATTCTCTCTTCTGAAAGTGTTAATATCCAAATCAAAATAGTATTTTGGTCACTAACTTGGTAATACGTAAAGGTATTGATTGCTACAGTGTGTGTGGCACAGACTGTTTAGATATACCCAAAAATACAAGATAAAATTGGGCTAAACTAAAATGTGCTTTGGAAAATGCGTAGTAATAGGCATTAAAAACTATAGCTTGGAAATAACAAAGTTGAGAGACTATGGCTTTAACTTCTCAAATAGCACCAATTCTGCCTTTAGCTCTAAAGACATGCACAGTATTCTTACTACCATAAGAAAATGTGATA